GTTTGGTATGAACCCTAGATACTCCCCTGACTATTGTTGATTGTTTACCTTCATTTTCTGTTGTTRTMCAGGCTCAACATGAGCAAATACAATTGGAGTATAATAGATTACAGCAGCAACATGCCAGACTCAGTGCTGAACATCAAAGTGTACACAATCAACAACGCAATGCTTTTAATATTATGAAAACTCAAAAACAGAATGAAATCATGGCACTTGAAGGTATGAACCATGTGAATAATAGCAATACAAAATTTAGTTCTTACTTTAGAGGGATAAAATGATTGTTTTTACAAACTTGAATCTAGTAATTTTGTTGGAAAGACAAGACAAGACTTCTATTCCGTGACTTTTGTCTATCTGTGAACTCTTCTTCTTGTAAATTCATAATATCTTAACATTAAAAGATAAATCATTCGGTACAAAGAGTTAAAATGATATTGAAATTTCTGATTCTTGTAGATCAACTTAGTACATTAAAAAAGCAGGTCCAGTCATGGAGAGTGGAGTATGGYAACCAGAAGCAAGAAACAGACTATTACAAGGTTTGAAACTCTAATGTGTTGATGGTTGAATGATGCATATATGTTTAATGTAATTCTTCTCTTTCAGGGTAGAATTTCTGAGCATGTGAAAGAAGCAGAAAACAATAAAGCTATCATTCGCTCACTTTACGACAACATAAATGTAAGKCATTGCCAATAGATTAATATAGATAAATAATAAATCTGTCATAAAATAACAGATTTTTTTCTTTCCAGCAACTTCAAAGGMGGCTTTCAKCCAGYCAGCAACAAGAAAGAAATGTCGGTAGATCACATGATCAAGTGAAGCCTAGCGAMCAATCCAATCAGCATGTTAATCAAAGAAAAGGTATCGGGAGGCCAGGTCGCCCAGCAGTGCACAATGTTATACCAACAATAACAAAAAATACAATACAAAGRTCTCCTAATAAGGGCAATGACGTCAAATCAGATGACGATGAAACAGAAGATAAAGATTCAGAAGAAGATGAGAATCGGTAGGTACAAGTTGTATGTGACAGAATGAGGAAGAGAAATCTGAGCAATTTGTAAAAAGAACACATCAAACTGAAGCAAATCTTGCTGTATACCAATCTAGTCATAGTAACCACTATCTTGAATTCTTTAGTGTACAAAAGCAAAATCACTACAAAATTGATATTTAGAACTTAGGCTAATGTTCAATGGGCAAAAGAACTTTACTGCTAAAAGTCTTTACTGTAAAAATGACCTTTATTCAGTACCTGGCATCAATTACACAATGAAATCAAATCATATCGTCACATTACTTGTCCAGAGAATTACCAGTTAATCCAAAGACTACAACAGCAAAACATACCAAGGAGGGAAATAGTCTTCTTGGTGATTCC